GTGCGTGCTTGGGGGGGGGGGGGGGAGGGCAACGAGAGGACCACCGCATTTCGCAATTGAAACAGGGGAGGGTCGGGGATGGGGATGGGAGTCGGGGAGGTACTGGCAGGTTAATTCAAACACGAACTGAAAATATCGACAAAGGGAAGCTCGTTACAATAGCGGGGGAACTTTTCGCGTCCGCACGGCAATCATGCCCGGGCTCGGATTGCAAGACGTGGAGCAATGCGCTTACGCACACATGGCTCCGGAATGTATCGCGGGACGCGTTGTGGTGCCAGGCTGCGACACGTCCCGATAGGGCCCGCGATGCGATGATGATGAAGGTACTTCGGTACGAAAAAAAAAGACGCGGATAGAGAAACACAAACACACCTAATTCCGGCTGTTGAACGCACCCATACGCTGCAACGGCGGTACGTTACTCGAATTCCCCCGTGCGAGCAACGTCTGCCACATGTATTCATCCATTGCCAGCAGCGGCAAACCCTTGAAACACGAAGCACCGTCAAAGGGACTAAAAAGAGGAGGAACGAAAAGAAAGAAGGGCATCCTGGCGTGGTCACTGTGGTCCAGCGTGAGAGAATATAACCGCCTCCCGTTCAGGCGTCGCCATCTCTCCGCTGCGCAGACGTAATTCGATACATGGGCAACTCTCGTGCTACCCGTATAAAATAATCCAGAGTTCGTTCGCTGATGATTGGAGATACAACCTATTAAGAGTACGTTCATGGAACGGATTGAAATAATCCAGAGTTCGTTCGCGGAACGGATTAAAACCAGAGTTCCTTCACGGAACGGATTGAAACCAGAACTCGTTAACGGAACGGATTAAAACCAGAGCTCGTTCAAGGAACGGATTAATAGTAAAATGCACACATTGTGTTTTTTTTATTTGCCACCTCATGTATTCTGGACACACCACCTTGGGTACATCAGCCGGGGTCACACAGGAGGATGCCACACTACAGTTTCCGGTTTGTTGTTGTTTTTCACGTACGTCCTTGCCTTCACATGAAACACCCTTCCGGTCTCCCCTCGGTGCCTTCTAATGTCCGTACTAGTCCAACTGAGGGAAGAGAGTGCTGAACTCTTCTCGCATTAACAATCGACGGCAAAGTACCGCAAGAGGGGAGGGTAGAGAGGGACTCTTCTGTGTGACCACGTGTTGGAGTAAACGGCACTAGCGCTGTGAGCGTTGATTTGAAGTGAAGACAAAAAAGAAAAAAAAAACTGACGCGGACACCTTCCGTGGTTTTAATTACCTTTCGAGAAATCAAAGAACGGAAAATAAATTGACCCAGAGAAAAATCACACACAAAAAATTGAGTAACTATGCTTCTTCCTGTACCAAGGCGCTGCGAACGGGCACAACGAACGAACGGACACGAGAACCCGTTCCAAATAGGTACTATCAATAGTTCCCTTTCCACATCCGAAACCGGTCGCCATGCTCCTCTCAGACAGAGTTCCAAGTTCTACGCACAAATACGATTTCCGAGCAAGAAAGCTTTGGGGCAAAGAGGAGGGGACAACGACACAGATCGCAACCAGCAGAACCGAACGTGTGGGTGGGTGTGTTCAGGATCAAGACGGGCTTGATTCGTGGGCCGTCGCTCCTGGCACCGCACCCCAGAGGAGATGAAACACCATCCATACTGGTATGCTGTGGGTGACCACAGACAACTCCGCCTCCAGCTGGCTAACCGCTTAAAGCATGCAATACATGAGTACGCCTATCCTCCGGGATGCGAATTGAATGGTCTAACCACTACGGCATGTACGGGTACGAGTACCCCCCCAGTGCTTACAACTGTCTCTGGAAGTGAAAGCACCAGAAAATAAACTAAGTCATACGTAGCTGCCATCCGTACGCAAGGAAGTAAGCACAAGATGCCGAACACCCTTAACAGGATGCAGCTCACCCTTCATGCGACTCGCCAAACACCTCACGGCGCTTCGCGCTTGGTGATGTGAGAGCCTGGTCCGGTGAGAACCCGGCATGCTCCGTCCCGGCTTTGTAGGGATGCGAGGTCAATGGTCTAACGACTACGGCATGTACGACTATGAGTACACCCCCCCCCGCTGCCCCCTTTTTTCGGGAGGAGAGCTAGTGTACCGCCTCCATCTACCCCCTCCGTCATGGCGGAGGCGGTGGCGGCAAGCCATCCCCTTCTCTCTGTTGATTGGCCACAACCTGGTCCAACACAATGGCGGCCCAATGCGCCGTCTTGCCCAAGCCTCGGAGACTCATCATGTCTAGCAGCTCGGGGAAGTTCTGCCAGGCCCCTTCCCACTCGTCCTCCGAGATGCAGCCAGCCTCTATGACCCCCAGCTCTTCGAAGATCTGCTCCACGGCTCGCGGGATTTCTGCGGTGACCTCGTGCATCAACTGTGAACGGGAAAAAAAGAAAAAAAAACACACACACACACACAAATGCATACAGATCACGAACGTTCGAAGAGAAGCAAGCACTCTCGGCCGCACGGAGAGCGACGTCTTTTCATTGGTCAGTCGAATAGCGCGGTCGATGCTAGTAACAACAAATAAACACACACACTAGGAGGAGGAAACATGGAGGAGTGGAAGAGAGCAAAGGGCTTGAGCCAGATGACCTTCCCCAAAACAAAAAACGCAGGGCTAGGGAAGAACTGGCAAGAGATTGTTGTCAAAATGAGGATCAGAATGATGGTAGCGACAACAAAGGGGATAATGGTGAAAGTACTCCTAAACGAACTCGAGTACAAGGTAATAAATGTCCATGGTAGACGCGTGCAGTTTTCTTCTGTTGTTACCGTTTCTGTCTTTGATCTGAAGGATAGTTTAGCCTCCCCCATGCTGCCCCCTCACGGGGTCCCAGTTCACAGCAGATAAAAGTGTTTTGTGTTTTCAACCGCACTAAGACTGACGTCTTTTCATTGGTCAGCCGGTTAGCGCGGACGATGCTAATAATAATAATAAAAAAAACACACACACACTGACGTCTTTTCATTGGTCAGCCGGTTAGCGCGGTCGATGCTAATAATAATAAAAAAAAACACACACACTGACGTCTTTTCATTGGTCAGCCGGTTAGCGCGGTCGATGCTAATAATAAAAAAAAACACGCACACACTGACGTATTTTCATTGGTCAGCCGGTTAGCGCGGTCGATGCTAATAATAATAAAAAAAAACACACACACACTGACGTCTTTTCATTGGTCAGCCGGTCAGCGCGGTCGATGCTAATAATAAAAAAAAAACACACACACACTGACGCCTTTTCATTGGTCAGCCGGTCAGCGCGGACGATGCTAATAATTAAAAAAAAAAAAACACACACATGAACTGCTGTGCACGGGATGAAGAAGAAACAGCAAAAGCACACATACAACCGCTGAGGCCGACGTCTTTTCATTGATAGCGCGGTCGATGCTAGTTATACCTTCGAAGTCAAGAGGTGCTACGATGGAGGGGAAACAACAAAGCAAAGCAGAATGGGAACACTAGAGACGATGGCAAATACCCATGGAACGTTGACACATAACGTTACACAAGAAGAACAACGGCGTCAAGCGTTACCGGTACTCGGAGAAGACAGACTTAAGCGTTGCCGGTACACAAGAAAGGCGGACTTACCTCGTCCACGACGGACACGATCTCCTCCTGGACCTGTTCGCTGTCGATGTCGATCAGCCTGCCCATGTCCTCGAGCTCGTGGGCCACCACGGTCGGGATGACTCTGGCCAGGCTCTTCATGTACAACAGAAGCGCCGCCTGCAGCTCTTGGCGGTCCAGCTGAAAAGCATACAAGAGCAAGAAAATAAAAATGGAGATAAATAACAACAGAATGACCACAGTAGAATACCAGGAAAAAGAACAAAACCAAACTCGAGAATAAAACAACAGGATTACGCAGCAACATACTGGTATAAGAGGACAGCACAAAACTGGAGAGGTAAGGAACGACAGGTTGACACAGCGCCATAGAAGCAAACAAGCCAAGACTGGAGAATAAAAAGCAACAGGATGATACAGCAGCATATACTTATGTAAGAGAAAAACAAAACAAATGGATAATAAGACAGGGTGACACAGCAGCGTATAAGAGAACAAACCAAAAGTGGACAAAAAACAAACAAGTAGATTGACAAAACAGCATGTTGTGTGCTGTATGTGTATCGTCGGGTGCATCAGTTGTAGGGTTGTAATTGGTTACATGACACACACTCGGACTACTCCGTGCCCTTAGCACCGCGAAACTGCAAACAGCGATTCCGGGTCAGGCTCTTCGCCTAAATTACGGGAGAAGGGGTAGTGGTATCCTCCGCGACCTCCTGTCGGGGGACCCCGCAAACTGCAAAACGTCCCGCGCGCGGGGACGGGGGGGTGTGTGTGGCCCCGCCAAGCCTGGAGTCTTTTCATTGGTACATTTGACACCGTCATGAGGACGCGATGAGTTGTAACCGAACATACACCAGAGCACTGTCCGTTGTGCCGCTAAAAGAAAAGAGATGAATCACAACATCATGACCCCTGTATTCTACCCACCTACTCGTTGCCGGAAAAGGGAGCGAAACACGCCTCGTATTAACACCGCCATGCCAACAAAAACCGACCTGCTTGTTGCCGTTGGTGTCGAGGATGGAAAATATGTACAAGGCCCGGTCTTCCGCAGAGGCTTGCACCATCATGTACACCGATATGGCAAACTCCAGCAACGCTCCCTCCGGCACGCCTCTCGTCTCCATCGCCAGGCAGGCTTTCGCCTCTTCCCCGGCCGACCCCTTAAGGCTAGTCAGGCCGCGGCGCAATCGCCGCCTCATCAGGTACTTCAAGCTGTTGACGGGTCGTTGGAAGAAATTCGGGAATATGACAAAAGGCCATGTATGAATAATAATGGCGGCCTCTCACCGCAGCGCGTTTACACCACTGCTGTAGTCGTCTTGTAGAGGGGGGAGGGTTCCGTTTGGGAAGATAGCGAAATTTTCTATGAATGGAGATGGATTCGTTTCGTCATATTAAGAAAAAAAAGAAAGAAAAACATCCCCCGTGTTCTG